CCAACAGCAACATTTGGTGAAATTCTGACAGATCTACTTCTGTACAAGCAGATTTATCCTTGAACAATTTGGGTCAATTTAATACTTGTGTCCCACCCAACTTCTCAAATTTCAATTAGTCATGATGTTTAAGAAGCTTTTAATTTACTGAATTTCCTGAATTCATTTTTGATATAGATTTTTTTTTATAGTTTCTTAATCAGTTTTTCTTGGATGCTAATATACTATTTTGGACATTCATATTTTAGCTTAATGGGAAAATAAGAAGTTTGTGGAAAACAATTTGACGTGAGGGAAAGAAATTAGAAGGAATTATTTATTTATTTATCTCAAATATTTCGAAATTCGTCATTATTTTTTGAGAACATACAAAATTGTTGATATTCATTTTCATTAGCTATGAAAGAGATATTCTTTTTGTCGAGACAATAATCCTTTTTTTTTTTTTTCACTCCGATGTTTTAGTTGTAAAGCATAGAAAGTGATCCATACAACTGAAATGAAGTCCATTCAATAAGCCCCTAGGGCACATCTTCAAGTGGTAAAAGGGGAGGGTGAAAAAATCTAACTTTACTTGATGCTGCTGCGTCAAGGGTTCGAATCCTGAAATATGGATTTGGCTCTTGGATAAATGCAAGTGTACAAGCAGCCTTCCACCCTGTACTCTTAGAGGCATAACCTACGATTTACCTCCCTCACGATACTTCAGAGCAGTGGCGGTGGAAGACCCTTAAGGTTGGGGTTCAACCTTTTTTTGTGAAATGAAGTCCATTCAATAATGATCTATAGTGAAGTGACACGTCGAATTTATAATTATTGAAGGACTCTCGTGATTGAGCTTTGATTGGAGAAAATTGTGAATTAGATATTATCATAAAAGAATAAAAAATGACATGTCATTCAATCATGTTCGATTCGTTCAAACACTTGGCAAAAACTTTGATCTCAAAATTATAAATTCATCTCTCTAAATGATTTCCAGAAAGATATTTGACTACCAAAATTTAGAACACACGATTAATACCACATAATATTTGGAATGCGGATAGGTGCATGTAATAAATACAATCATACTATGTTGCTCGAATTTTTTTGACATAATCACTGATAGACACTCACAATGGGAGGGGATCCACTTTTGTTTTGGACTTTTTTATTCACACGGGATTCATGCGCATGTGAGAAAACGTCAATTATTCTGTCAAAAAAATTCAGATAAAGTAGTTTAATTCAAGATCGAAGGAATATGTTTTGAGTTATTTTGACTCAAATATTGATATTATTTGATTTTTGCCTACTTTGATTATGATTTTTTTTTTGATTTGCCAGCTCTGAATAATCAATTATTTTATGCTAAAGAAAATAAATATGTGGTTCAAATCTATTGGAAATTATGTATTTGATAAATTGTCAAAGAGACAAACTTTTCCTGTTTATGCGATGGTAGTGTCAAATCGATGCCATCAATGTGAACCTATATTTGTCCTTTTTGATAAGTCTAAGTGCTTGTTTGATAGGGATTTTGATAATTGATTTTTTGACGATTAGAGATAAAGTAATTCCTACATGTGAAAGAAAAATTCAAAAATGACGACTGAAATAGTAAAATAACGGTAAAAAAATTGAGTTTAATTGGCTTTTAAGCCCTACCAAACATGCTCATTAAATTAGATTTTTAGATTATTTTAATAAAAATTGGTAAAATACATAGTTAAAAAATTGTAAGCACTATATAAAATGTGATTAAAATTAATTATTAACTTTAACTTAAATTAAAATATAAAATATAGATTTTAATTTCTGCTAAACAAGTTTACAAAGTTCATTGGTTAATAAATTAATTATTAGTATAAAAGTAAATTTTAAAATTATTTTAATTAATAAATTTAAAAATAAATAGATTACTTATTTTTATTTTACAAGTGGTAATATTTATATTAAAATGGTTTCTTTTAAAAAACAAAGTTAAATTAATGATAAAAAATTACACTAAACCCCTGTTTATTTTCCATTATTTCTTCATTAAAATGAAAAATATGACCGTTATCTATCACATCAAGCCATCATATTTGAATTTTTATCTCTTGTGTAGGGTTCATAACGACTATATTTATTATTCTCATTCTTCCATAAATGACAAATGAAATATATTATGCCCCCCTTGTGGGGGAGAGTCTTTGAAAAGTAATTATTTAAAAAGTGATTTTTTTTGGTGAGTACGAGTTAAAAGGTTATGAGAAAGTATGAAAAATAATTCTTTAAAGAATGTGCCATGCAGTTAAAAATTAGTGTGGAGAACGTGATTTTTCAAAAAAAAAAAAAAAAGAAAAAAAAAAGAAGGGGGTCTCACGAGCACTATCCATTATACCGTCTAGTCTGGTGATCCAATAATTAGGTATCAGTATAGAAAATCTTTCATAATGTAGTATATGGTGTTTGATTTGTTGTTTTTATTAAGGGTACTGTAATCACTTTTTATAATGATATATTTGTAATTTTTTCAATAAATAGTGCTTTTGTAACCATTATGCAAAATATATAGTATGTAAACTGTAAATTTAAGTGAATTATAATTACACCTTATATACATAATAAATTTTGTAATTTCCTAATTTCAACGTCACAGATATTTGGTGTGACCACACTTCGCTAGAAAATACTAGAGCAAAGAAAATGTAGAAAAGGACAAATATAAGATGAAGATGAAGATGAAAATAAGTATAAAAAATAAAATTTTATTAATGCTATTTTTTTCCTTACACAAAATTATAGTTCCAACGAGATCGTTCATATATTATTTTTTAATGGTCCACAAGAAATCAGCAGTAGAAGACGCGTGTTATAAATCAAATAAATGAGAGAAGATCGCCATCTCATACTTGCTATGATTGCATTTTATTGGAACTGAGAAAATACCCCAAATGAATCATCTGTAAATAATTTTCGATGTGAAAACATAGAGTCAGGGACTATTCTTTGAACAAGGTGACCTGATGATAGAGGAGCCGACAGCCGAAGACCCGATGAACGGCGACAATAATTAAATTCTTTGATTTCTTCCGAAAGCAGATAATTAATCACGTTTCGTGAATAGTCGTGATATTGAGAAATATCGAAAAAGGCATTTGGAAGCTATTTATTTTGCATGAGCCACCAAACCAATAAGATGAATCAAACGTCGTGCGAGCCTCCCACTAGGGGCCCGCTATACCAAAAGCGATAGAAACCTATCGGATATTAATTGCTGATCTAATGTACAACTTCGAATATTGATATTACGCCCTTTTTGAGCTTCATTTTTTTCTTATTATTTTTTTTACAGTACTCATTTTCAATCACATATTTTTTATTAAAATAATATTACGCGTAAATTAAAAAATTTCTTTTTTTTTTAATTATACTTTTTTCATCAAATTATTATTTTATAATATATTACAAGAAATTAATGGGGCTCAAACGGGACTATATGAAGTTAGGGTAGAAGTCTACTTTCAACTAAAATT